CGGTTCCTCTTCTTCGTGGATAGGCTCGTTGAAGGCCAGCCCGGAAAATCGACGAGGGGGTGCCTTGATATTCTTTCCATCGGAAAGCGTCCGAGTTAGTTCATCGGAGTTGATTGCTCGTTCAACGGTGAACGAGTATAACGATGAGTTGTCCGGTAGTGGGGAGCTTCCTAACGGGGGCCCATCGTGCAATTGCGGGCCAAACCGCCCCATAGGAGACGGATACAGATTGTCGGCTGGGACGTGGGGATATCTGGGTACAGGTAGAGGTTGCGTAGGACTTGAGGCGGTAGAAAGAGTGTGTGGGATAGGAGGTGTGGGGGTGGCGGTGGATTGGTCGTTGTTGCTGTAGTTTCCCCGTATAGGCGTGGGAGACTTAGTTGCCTCGCGCAGGTTGTCGAGAAGCTGCAACTCATCCGGAGTCGGCTCCCGACGACTTCGCCGAACCGGGGAACGACTGATAGAAGGCGACTTCTGTCGACGAGACTTGTCCTGAGTGGTTTCTTTCTCTTTCAACTGCCGATCCTTGGCATCCTCAATTCCCTTGTCGATTGCGTCGGCCATCTCAGTCAGATCCATATGAGGCTGAATCTTGAGCTCCCGCGGGAGAATTGGCGTCTCAGCAGATCCATAAGCGAATGACTGCTTGGTTGGAAGATTTGGCAGAGCCTGTGTCCTTGCTTCCGGACCCAGCTTGGACTGAAAATACGTCGAGGCACTCCCTATATCGGAGCGTGGAGTAGACCCCGCGCGCCTGGTGGCGCCGCGTCTAGTAGGCATTGGAACTTCAATGCTGAGAATCGGCTTTATGATTGCGTTAGCTAGAGCGCATATAGTGCAGGCGTCCTCACTGAGGGGTGAGGGAAGAGAAAGTCCTATAACAGTGAGACTCGAAGCTCTCTACTCACTGTGAAAGATGGAAATGCTTTAAGTCACTTGCAGCCTCAGGCATAAATAGGAGGCCAGAGATGCCAAAACACGGTGATGAGATAGGAGGATTCAGCTGGGAGAGAGTGATCAGGAGTAATCTTGAACAGTCAGGCTGCAATCAAGTTTGTGCTACACTATGATTGCGACCAGGATGACCAACTTAGATGTAGCCTACACGAGGTTTGTTAGAGCTGAAGCTGAATTGAAGAACAAGTGAAAGAAAGCTACCTCGTCAAGTCTTTGTTTTCAAATGACCATTGAGAGAGGTCAAAGACCTCGAGGTACCCAAATGAGCTAAGGTGAGCAGAGGGTATAGACTGGCAATGGCAATCCGGGGTAATTGTCGACCTTCATGCGCGAAAGCGACACGGCGCGAAAAGACGCGGGTGGAATGCCGATCCACGGCGTCGCAGGGGCGGTGGAGGGATTTAGACACTTGAAATTTGAGATGAACTAGGTCGCGCATGTAAAATGCGCGTCGTGCAGAAATTCCTGAATGAAAGATGAAGAAGAGAGAGAATGCTGGAACTGCAGAACAATGCTAGACGACGGGAGATGAGGCTGGCTTGGTTGCTAGACTGGATGATGATGGATGGCCCGAACCTCCACTCACTGCGGGTAATATTCGTATCTCCTGTTACCCGCCTTCAATACAAGATTGCCCGATTCGGCAGGGCGGCTCGTCTCCTTTATAGATCACCCGTTAATTATTATGGAAGTCTTCCTCTCTCCCAACGAAGTGTGTATAGAGCTTACATGACAGGATTGTTGCATTATTGCACTATCGGCTCTTTGTTTCAGTCCACGTTTGGTTACACTTCAGCCATGTCTTTATTTCTTCGCTATTTTTATGCATGTTTCATCGTAACAAAGAAAAGTACAGGTCCTCGAATGCTTCATTTACACGGCTGCCCTCCCAGGACGCCCATCCTTCTATATTGCCAAAGTAAGAATAATATACAGTCGCTGAGGCAGTCAAGCAGTCGCAAATACAAAAACATGATGATGATAGTTTGCATGTACGTGGCGAGTCTTGCAGGGTCGTATAGGCTTCGTTTAACAAGTCCACGCCGCGACGATACCGTCCTTGCGGCCCTCAACAAGGAATCCATCCTTGAGCCGAACCCGCTCGACCGTGGCCGGCTGCGGCCCACTGTCGTCAACGCCAACCCCGGCACCACAGTCCCAGTGGTGGCCATCTGCCTTGTCGTATACCTTGACAACGTTCTCTCCGGCTGCCGCGACAATGCGCTTGGTATCGAACATCATGCTGGTGATGGGCTTGTCGTACGCGTAGGCATCGAAGATAGATCCAGTTCGGAGATCCCAAATCTGGTTAATGTTAGCGGTGTCGTTAAGTCCGTATATGAAACAAACACTTACTCTGATGCTGCGGTCCTGACTACCAGTCACCAAGTGTACATCGTCGAACTGTAGGCATGTAATAGGACCGGTATGGCCAACTAAACTCCGGTGGACTTGGCCGCTGCGAAGATCCCACAGGCGCACCATACCGTCCGCCGTACCGCAGGCCAGCGCCGCATCGAAACATTGAACCGCGCCGACAAAGTCCGCAGAAGCGTCCGGAAGGCGTCCCGACGGGCGCCATGTCGTCTCACTTCCTAGAGTAGACGCCTGGGCCGCTGCCCACAAGACATCCAGCGTCTGCACGCAGCGCCCCTTGACCAGATCCCACTGTCGCAACGTCTTGTCGGCAGATCCGGAAATCAGGGTGTCTCCCTTGAAGTGCAGGGCGGTTACTTCATCGACGTGCGCATCAAGAGAGTATACATAGCAGTCTTCCAGGGTGGTCGAGTGAGATGCCATGGAGGCGTCATCAGCATGCGCAGATTCCTCATCGTCCTCGCGCCGGGTGACGCGGTTGTCGCGAGTTGTGGTCCGGGCCCGGCTCAGATCCCAGAGCTTCACAGATGCGTCCATAGATCCAGTGGCGACAATGTTGTCCTCAATCTGTAGGCAGCGGACAGATGCGTTGTGTCCCTCCAGGAAGCCCACGCAGCGGCCGACGTTGAGATCCCACACCCGCACCGTATCGTCCAGGGCGGCACTGATCATGGTGCCAAACGGGTAGTCGAAGTCAATAGCGGTAACCATGTCCGAATGTGCCGGCATCTCTTTGATTTCAGAACCGGGAGCAAAGTGTTCGTGCAAAACTGGCATCGATCGTTTCCCTTGGACCATTAGTACTGGACGCTGAACGGAGAATGGTGCGACATACTTATAGATCGCTGCTTCACGCTCTTCGGCGAAGGGATCTTCTGGTAGATGGATTCGGACATAAAGGAAGCACCCATGGCTGGGTCTTCGGAAACAATCGAGTCATCGTTGGCCTCGGAAGACTTGGGAGTTGCGGGAGGCGGCACCTCGGCCTCTTGCTCTTCTTGGATATCCTCCAATTTGTTCTCAATCTCGTTCACTGGTTCCATGTTAGGACGCGTTTCTGCCAAGTATCCAAGATTCCAGGTCACCCACGCTCATGTTCCAGATCCGCCTCCTCCATCTCAAGGCCTGCCAATCGGTCTAGCACAATCTTTCGCATGTTGTGTAGGTTCGCGATCTTGTTATCTATGTCGTGTATCTCCGAGCTGCACATATTCTTGCGAACGCCCATCAGTTCCATCCGGCGGCTCAGCAAGTCCCGTTCCTTCTTCAAATCCGACGGAGCGGACGGCAAAGCGCCGCGCGTCTCCCCATCCTTCAACAGCTTCTTGCTCTTGGAGGATCGCCGACGATGGGCGCGGCGATACTCAATGTCATCCTGCGACGCCTGGAAGCCCTGGAAGAGAGAATACGAGCTGGAGTCGTCGGGGATATTGGCGAGGAGTTCGTCAGGAAGGGAGGAGATGGCCCGCGACTGAATTTCGGTGGTGGAGAGCTTGGAGCGGACCAGATCGGTAGGGGTGGTCTGGGTGAGAGAAAAGACTTTGCGCTGGGTGTTGGGATGGCGTAATTCGCGCTGGATGTCGGCCATCGCAGTGTGGTAGTGGCCGCCGCTGGAGGAGTCGGGAGCCGGTCCCATCAAATGGCCAGCAGTCGATGTGACTTTGCGCCCGAAGGCCTCGATATGACGCGACTGGAGAGGAAGAAGGTCAGCAAGGAGGGATTTTAGGCAGGAAAGACCGCCCAAGGGCAGGTGTCAAGGCCGCAAGAGCATACCGTGATGCCGGTCCCTAAGAGACCGTCCGGCTCGACAATATCTGATAGACCGGAGGGAGACTCATCACGGCGGCGGTGTTTGTCCATGACACCGGCGGAGGAGCGAAGAGTGAGCTAAGCACAAACTCCCATCCGGGAATTAAGAGATCAAGGACAAGGATGGCGGAGAAAGAGGAGCTGTTGTGCCCAGTCGGCAGTTGTTCGGCTTCAGGCTGGGATTGGAAAAAGAAAGGCGGATGGAGTTGCACGCGATGAATTACCGTGTTTCGGCTGTATTTTACAGCTTGCCTCTTTGCTGCGCCCGGGCTACCCTAAGTACCACGGTCACTCTTCCCTCAGTTCTGGCTGGTCTGGCTTCAATGTCGGAGAAAGCATAATTATTCCCCTGGGAAAGAAGGTGATCCATTGGATATGAGTGGCTTAAGTATCCAATGTCCCTGTTCTTTGCCCCCCAACCACTCCAGCTTTCCACCTGATGAGGCTCTCCCTCCTGCACATGACAGCATCACCAGCCACGGATCCCGCCGCGGGTTCTGTACGAAGCCGTAATGTTACCTGCGGGCAACCGGCCAGAATCATTGAATCACCATCCAACATTATGGGTTGCAGATAATTGCTGAGCCCAGCATTTCCATGACAGTCCGGATGTCGTGAGATTTTCTTGCTTTTTTTTTTCTGGACTCAGCAATTGGTCTCCCTTGAAACATCACCCAGACTGTGCCGATCAGCAAACCGTTAGCGCTGATTCCCCAGCCTACTTAAGTTGCTCTATGATCTCCCCGAAAGCGGAGCGTATTCATCTCGCTTTCCCAGTCCCTCCATCTACTTCTATCGCTGCACTTCTGCCCTCTACGCACCCTACGGCTCCGTCTCAATCCTCAACCAGCCTCGCCATGGATACAGCTATTGATCTGTCCGATGCCTCCAAGGCATTGGACCTCGCCAACATCCGCTTCCAGCTCATGTAAGTTCCTTCGGAGGGATTTCGTTAGTTAGTTAGCCTACTCTAGATCGACCGAAGATCGGGGACCAACTCGCATACAATGATTCATATCCCTGCGCGCAAACCTCAACCCCGCATCCCCTCCATTACTGCCAGAGTTTCAACATACTTGTCCACCAACACAGATAATACCAAAACTGAGAATACCAAAACTGAGAAAATATGTCAGTCGCTAATCATGCTTCGATACAATTAGCCGTCTTGAAGACACAATCACCTTCCACTTGATTGAACGGGCGCAATTCCCTCTCAACAAGCCCGTCTACCTACCCGGCGGGGTAAAAATCCCTGGCACCGAGCTCAGTCTTCTCGACTACTTCCTTCGCGAACGAGAACGTCTGGAGTCCCGTGTTCGTCGGTACCAGTCTCCCGATGAATACCCTTTCTTCCCCGACGCGCTGGAAGAGCCCATCCTCGCCCCGATCCAGTACCCCAAGATCCTGCATGACAACGATGTCAACGTCAATAGCATCCTGAAACAGCGCTACATTGAGGATATCCTTCCCGCTGTGTGCGCGCAGTTCGGGCGCGAAGATCGCGGCGAGACACAGGAGAACTACGGATCCGCGGCGACATGCGATGTGCATTGCTTGCAGGCGCTGTCGCGCAGAATCCACTTCGGAAAGTTCGTCGCGGAGGCTAAGTTCCAGCAGGAGACCGAGCGCTTTGTTAAGCTGATTAAGGCGAATGATCGGAAGGGCATTGATGAGGCTATTACCAAACCTGAGGTAGAGCTGAAGGTGTTGGAGCGGTTGGCGCTCAAGGCGAAGACGTATGGTACCGATCCAGGTTTTCAGCCTGAGAATGGACCTAAGATCAATGTTGATGCTGTGGTGGCTATGTACAAGGTAAGTTTACATTCATCCCTCACCTTATAAATCAGGAACATGCTGACGTGCATAGGAATATGTCATCCCGCTCACCAAGGTCGTCGAGGTAGACTACCTCATGCAGCGACTCAAGGGCACGCAATGGGAGTAATGTAACACCACCTAGAAGCTCCCATTCTGCCATTATATACACGGAACAACATTACACGAAACGCCGTGACGAAACTTCTATAGAAATAACCAAGATGGAATAATAGAAACGGACAAAAGACCAAAGAACAAACCAACTTTTCGGGTGTCTATAACATATAATCATCGTAATCACAAGAAAATCAAATCTATGGCTTAAAATACTCCGCCATATCCTTAACCGCCCCATCCAACTTACTCGCCTCCAACAGAATGAGGCTCCCCTTCGTCACGATACCCAGATCCTGGAACGCGCGCTTCGAATCCGACAACCCCTCCTCAGCCTTATGCGTATAGTCCACAGGCCCAACACACACAGCGTGTCTTTCCAGAACCTCATCCTCAGGATGGAAGAAAAACCGCTCGGCCTTCTCCCCACCCGCAGCCTTCTTCTTCTTCTTCTGCGGCCGCGACTCCTCCGCATCTAGCTTCGACTCCACCTCCTCATACGTCTTCGACACAACCAAGTAATGCGTGAAGCTGTACGGCTCTTTATCCTTGATCGCCCAGTCGATCTCTTCTTGCAACATCGTATACATGGGCGGTACGACCTCCGCAGGCATGTTGATGAGACGTTCCGTCAGGATCAGGCCAATGGGCGGGATGGGCGTTTGGGAGAGGAGTTGGGCCAAGGGCGCGAGTGTCGGTGCGGCGTTGGCTTTGCGCTGCAGGTAGGCTGTGAGGTCTTTGATGACGGGTTTATCCTGAATGCTTTCGTTAGACTCCCCTCCTCCTTGTTCTTTATGTCGAGGCGGGGCGGAGAAGACGCACCTTATGTTCCTGAAGATTCAACACCGTCAAGAACGCATACGGATCCGACTCATTCCCATCAACTTTAACAGTCGAACCAAGCAGAGGTTGCGAGAGGATCAAATCGGCCAAAGCGGACATGTCGAAGATCTGGGCGTCGGTGTCGAAAAGCTGACGGAGGAGGTTCTTCAGACCGTGGAAGTCGACGGCTGGTTGAGGGTCGAACCATTCGAAGTCGACGTTGACCATGTCCATGTCCTGATTTTAGTACTTTGTCAATATTTATATCGAATTGTTGCTTTTGCTTGGCTGGGTTTGGTATATGCTGTTGGAGGGGGTGTTGGTTTGTATGGATGTACCTCATCGGAGTCGTCGCCGTCGACGCGGGGATCCGTCCCCGACATCTCGACATCATTGTCTTTGAGTTCCTTGCGCTTGACCATTGTGTATGTTTGGGGTATATGTGTGGTGTGGGTTTGAGGGGGTTATGCTGGGAGGAGTTAAAGTGGGATTTCCGTTCGCGGAGGTTCGTCGGGCGGCGCGACCGACAAAAGTTGATCTTCCGCTAACCGCTTTTGATTATCGATAGCTTATCGATAGCAGAGATCTAATCGTCTACCTTCATGGGACGGTGAATATAGTCCTGGTATTTCATTGCATTGCTTTTTGATTTATTGAATACCTAATTTTCTGTGATGGAAAATCTATTACGCATTTCACTGTTTTGATAGACACATTCCCTAGAATATCCTATGATTCCTCAAAACCGCAAAAAGGAATTCACACTACTATTCAATGAGCCAGTATCTACCACCTATTGGAGGGAATATATACTAATGAATACTGCAATGTAGACAGGCACTTCACCAACCCTTGCCCACTATATAAACTCGGCCTGCGACCTTGCTTGATCATTCTAATCTTCCCAACTCCAACTATCTACATAATACTATATTATATAAAAAACGAATTTAGAATTGACTTGGAATACCTCAATGCTTTTATAGTATATTGTATAACGAATAACTATCACAGCTACTACAACTAAATAGGCAGTTACTTATGGGCAACCATGGCAAACATATCCGGGTTAATATACAATATATAATATACCAATGGATCAAGTTCACATACCATGAAAACTCCCCCACAGTTACAAGCGTGGACTACAGAACGGAAGATGCTCGAGAAAACCCAGCACCTGCAAGTGAAACAGCGATGTTGGACATCCTGTACCGAGGGGTAGCATAAATGACATATCCAAATTGGACAAACATTGTCATTGTATTTGCAAGTTGTTAAGAAGACTTTGAAAATGCAGATGGCGCTGGGTTTGATTATAACCCGATAGAAACAAGGTTATGGATATAGATACCGCACTTATCTATAATAGACATTTAGCAAAGCCATTCAGATGATATGGTGGGACCTAATCTTAGGGTTGCAAATACAACAGAAGGACATTCTTGGCTCAACCCTTTCGGACACGACACAGAAAAAGCCTCGACTAAAGCACGCAATCGCCGATACTAAAGCATTTAGGGGTATCCAACTTTGAATGGCATCTCAGCCTAGGCTGAAAAGACCTGCGAGGCTTTATAATTTACTAGTTTCACTCACCCTTGGCTAATAGTTGCAAGGATAGTGTATATTCTATACTATTTAGTATCGACACTTCTATACTTTCTTTGACCCAGATACGTGAGGAATTAGTGCACGATGGCCAGCTGTCGACAGAGGTTGCAGCTGCCACCATTATTGATCCCTTGATAGAAAGGGCCGAAAAGTTCTCGAGCGAGTACGAATCCGCGAACAAAGGTGAGCGGTTAGTACTCTGCATCGAGTTTTTCAAATCAGTAGACTGGTTTAATCATATCAACAATGGGGTAAGCGCAATCGCTGTTTCGATGCTGGCCAGTAAGCCGGAGTTTCTTGGCTACTGCAAAGAAAATAATATCCCCGAATGGGCACAAATGCAGATACGTGCCAAGAATTTCTATGACACAGCCAAGGTAGCCGCCAATAACTGGCGCAGGATCGAGGAGAGGGTTGGAAAAGTGTTGTAAACAGATTTCAATAGGGCCTCTATCTTGATCTTAAAAAGGTTATTTGAGCTCAGGATTGATGAATACCTCATTAATAAAACGCCAGAAGGCATACGGAGATAGTCTGATATCTACTTGAAGCATCTTCCGAATGTCCTGAGCACAGCCAAGATTTGCACTGACAAATCTTTAGCAGTGTCATCAAATCGCTTCCATAAAATGATAAGACGCGGTAAAGACTACCTTGATTTTCGGAGGGAGCCATCCTTGGACTTAGTTTGAAGGATCAAAAAATCCCCGATAATTACGAATAATCTTCTCAATGTTCTAGAGTTCTTTATGAAAGTCATGGAGAAAAAGTCTGGATTGAAGTGACCTAGAAAGGGGTAGTCATTCTGTCATATGGCTCTATAGTTCATGATAATCCTGAATAATCAGATTGGAATTGCGACTGTCTCCATGGAACACTCTTGATCTTTCGGATGTTTTCTTTTGACCGTGGTCAAGAAACGTCATCAACATAGCCTGCAAAAAAACTGTGATATATATGAAGGAGAAATGAACAAGATTGCTGTCGTTATAGTACTTCAGATGCATATCATTCGATATTCCTACGGGAGTAAATCACGTACTTACGTATGAGTATTGCAATATAAGAGAACCCTTCCACTAGTATATTAGCACTTCATTCCCTTTTTGTATGTGTAGTATGACTTCTCTTCCGATCCCGGCCACTATACTCCATCCACCTTAATGGTAATATATAACCAAGTTCTCTTAAGTCTATCCCAACCCATAAACTATATACAACCAACCCTTACCCCCCCGCCTCAAACATCCCCTTCCACCTCCTCCACACCAGGCACCTTATCCAACACCCTCCCATAAAACCCCGCAACATGCTTAACGCCCTCACACAAAACCCTCACATCCTCCAAACTGACCCCCAAGCGTCTCGTACCCCTAATATGCCAATGAGTCTCAATCCTCAAATTCTGACTCATAATCGCCGGCAACACCACCAACTGCGTATCCAAATCATCCAACACCCCGCGATCACTCAAAAACAACCCGTAGGTAATCTCCTTTGACAACCAGGCGAAATCCTTATGCGCCGCAAACAAATCCAACGTGCCCGATGTATTTCGCGCATACAGCTTCTCCAACCACGCCACGCCGCGCTCGTGATTCGCCTCGTCGCATTGCCAGGCCTCCCGGGTGAATGTATAGTCTTTGTCTTCGGGCGCTTCGAGCTTGCTGATGGCGAGGATGGCTTCGATGGGTTTGCACACCCCGACTATGATCACGGCTTTGATGAGGGCTTCGCGGATGCGCCGGATGAGGTGTTGGCGGGATGATGGGGTCGAGTATTCGGGTTTGGAGATTAGGTAGAGGTAGAGTTGGTCGGCGCGTTCGGGGTCTGGATTTGCGACGAGGGTGGAGATGGCGAGAATGTACCATTTGTCGTGGGGGAGGGTGGTGGTCTGGAATTGGGATTCCAGGGTTTGGAAGAGTTGGGCGTATTGGGGGTCGAGAGTGGTGGTGGTTGTGGCCATTTCGGGGGTAGTGTTGGTGGTGATACCTCGGATGGGAGTAGCTGTAGTGGGAAGGTGATGTGCGAGAGGGGAAGAAGATGGTGGTGTTGATGATATTAATGATGATCGGAGCGGCGTGTATCGGGGCGGGGAGAGGAGGGGTAAGATGGAGGAGACACTGGTGCCGAATTGCCGTCTACTAGTAGTCAATTGCAGACTACGAGATGCATACAGCAGACGCGAAGGGTTGCGGGCCATTATGCCCCGTTGTAGTAGATGCATTAATCCTTAATCGTGAAGGTGAGTCGCGTGTATCTGTTTATTCCCCATGTTAGCCGGAAATGGAACTAATCGGCCGATATCGGTTATGTAAGGATGCATAGCTGAGTTCACCACCACCCCATTATTCAGTCAGGTACACCGATTCCCCATCTGACTGCTACACCCCAAGACTACACCGAAATGCAACACCAGAACAGACCCAACTACATCATCGAAGAAGAATATGATGAGAGATGTTCCAGCCAAGGGACAAAGCATGCCCAGCTTTGGCTTTGACCCACACAGTCCATGGGTACTATGATCTCAGCGACTGCCATATGACATCACAACTATCACCCAGATTCTCCCCCAACCCTGACACTATATAAACGCTGTTCTTCGTCCTCAAAGCAAATGTAACTCTATTACAACAACAATCAACAGACACTCAACGAATCTATCTATCTCCCTTTCATATAAATTAACTCAAGTCTCTATCTCCTACTACTTCACAAACACACATACACAATGTCTTCCGGAGCAGGCCAATCCAGCGTCGGCAGCCGCACCCTCTACGAAGCCGGTGACCAGCGCAACGTGCCCCAGTCTGAGATCAACGAGCAGAACCGCTACGCAGAGGGTCAGAAGAACAGCCACAAGAACCTTGATTCGAGTATGCAGACCCCTGCCTTCTTTGTCCCCTCTATCCTCCAATGACTCGGAATACAATGCTAACGACAACCAACAGAGGACCAGCGCTCCATTGGCAACAAGCTTGCCGCACAAGAACGCAAGCCCGAGAGCGACCACCACCACAACTTTGTCCAGAACCCCGAGGCTGAGCTCAGCAAGCAGGATCCTACTAAGCCGGTATGTTTTATATACACTCTTACCCCGTTGATCAAATGTCCAGATTGCTGACTGTTTTGTCTGCAGGCCAAGGTGCACGGTAACAAGCCCTCCAAGGGTGCTGAGATCGATGCTGAATTGCAGGCTGAGGATGAGCAGCGCTTGCGTGAGAAGGGTATCAAGAAATAAATGATGTAATGATGGGGTTTGGAACGATGGACGGATGGAAAAGCTATATATATCCTGTTCGAATGACTGCATGAATGGCTGACGCCTGGGGCGATAGCATATCACTATTATTCAATTAACATTGATCTATTTTCATTCTTTTCCACGTAGATTTGTTAGAGGATATAGTATGTAATGATATGTATGTTGAATGTTGTCACAAAGACTGGAATATACTTCGATACTTGCGGAGCGCCAGGGTATCAACAAACGGAGAGTTGGGTTGCCAAATTAGTATGGCATCAACCGATATTATACACCTAATGGTATGAATATGTAACCAGAAAAAGAACAGAAGAATATATACAATACTGCTGATAAGCAACCGTGTCGATCATAAACAGCATGGCGTAACTGGTTACCCAGTGATGTCTCAAGGCTCAGCATCGCAGTATAATGCGGCCAATTCAGCTTTCGTCAGTGAATTTGGGGTCGTCATCATGCGGCTCGGCGAACACATTCGCCCAGTAGCTCTCTACCCGGTCACAGATCTCATCCTTCCTCTCCCATGTCCGGAAGCTGATGGCGGGGTCGCAACTGATGTTTTTGATCTCCTCCCAATACGCTTTCTCGACGTCGTATCCAAACCGCTGGACAGTAGACTCTGCCGCCAGCCACGCCCGTCCATCTGTGCCATCGGGGCGGAGCGTTGGCGTGGTCTCCCATTTCATGCCGAATACCTTTTCACCAGGATTGAACTTGGGGTAGTTGGCGTGGATGAAGAAAGCATGGGGGGCTTTCGCCACAGACTCATCTTTCACGCGCCATTTATTCGCACTGGTCAACGCATAATCCTCGGCCGGGTCAGTCTGCACCATCGCAGAGCCCGCAATACCGCCCGGCTTCGTGTGACCGACTGCCTGAACCCGCTCGCTCACAGCGTAGAAAGGCTCTCCGACGGCGGTGGCAGCATGAAGGAAGGTCTCCTTATCGCCTTCGCCGGGTGCACCTTGCGATAATAGCCGGAAATAATGTGACGGACCGTAGTAGTTGTAGTAAGCAGCAAGGAGCAAGGTCAACTGATGTGTCTTCTTCGATACCAGAAAGACGCCTGCTTCCGATGACGCGCGCTCCGACAGCGCTGGCATTTCCTGCCGCGAGATTTTGAAGTACAGCGGAGACGCCGAGGAGATCCAAAAGTCCGGCCAGGTGACCAACCCCTTGGAGCTGAATGGTTCCGACTCAAGCAAAACTTCAGGCTTGTGGAGCGGAAAGCAGTCTGCGTCCATCCAAATAACCTCTTCAAACGAGGAGAATAGAACTGCGAAGATTTTGAGCTGGTAATGTTCAATGGCGCCCTTGCCAACGATATCCGAGAGAACAAGACAGCGCGCACCCAGATCCGGTAGGATCTCATCGCATAATTGTTTTTCATATTCACTTTTATCCTTCATATACACCTCCACCGGCAGCGTTGACCCCAGTCGTCGAAGCATTCGTAGAGAGGACAAGAAAACTGGAAAATAGGAAGCCCCCGCTGTGGACACTATGCCACGCGTGCCCGGAGTATGTACTGGCCGCAGCCGTTCAGACTTACGACACTCCTCAAGATATCCCGCATGAGCCTCTTCCATCGCTTGTAAGTCGCCATCCTCGATTATGGTCAGATCAGGTCGCGAATCGGTCGTCGTAGCATTGAAGTGAACTGCGCTTACGTCCGCCAGGCGCTTTGGCGTAGGAGTATTTGGGGCATGTCCTTGCAATATCGGGTTCAAGACCTTCCAAAAGGCATTTTGACGTTCGGCGAGAGGGACCTCGAAGGCGGTGCTAGGGACTACTGAGGCTGGAGGCGGGGCCCAATAGATATACACGGTGCAAATGAGTAGCAGCGCACCCGTGGCCGAGATTATCGTCTTCAATTTACCTGGTCGAAGAACCGGCATGACTATGTTCGCTGCCCGGAGGCAGAGCTAGGGGTATGGAGGTATAGCTTTGGAGGTTTGAGGCAAATCTACCAGCTCGCTGCGTATGGAGGGAGTGCACCTCGGCGGTTGGCCGGCAGGGTGGGCAATTCAAGTAAGTTCAGAGAAGATCGCTTTAGCAATCCATCAACATGGCTGGCAAGCTCGGTCGAGTCCAGGTTCAGCGGGAGGCGAATTCTGGTTCACGGGGGATACGAATGGCGGTGGAGGAGCCGCGGTAGTCGAGATAAGACACAATCAAGCACTGTTGTGTTGGCAGGGGTCTGGAAACGCTAGAAAATCGCAAAGTTTTGGCCATAAAAGTTTCCAGCGGCCACAAAGGCTTGTCCAACGTGGCTCAGCAGGCAGCGATGGGGAGGCGATGGAGGCACCGTGGATGCTTTTTCCAGCAGGCGGTGGCAGAACGCGCACTTACGTTGCCCGCGGCTATTAATAACGCGGTGCATAATTGAGTATGCCGTGGCTCCGGTTGGCTTCCCATGATCTTCATCCGGTGGCAATCCTAATATACCAAGTGCGAGAGAGTTTCCTATTCCATCCTCGTGGTCGGAGTCATCCCGAGTGATCCATCAGGGGTTCCAAGGCACCAAGCCCCGACCCGTAGCAATGGAAAAGGGGAGGTGAAAGACTGAAGACTGCATGTGGTCCTTCCTCTCCGCGGAAGGGCCAGTTCCACCGAACCGACAGAGTGGAAAGTGGAAGGGAAAGTTCACCAGTGGATCCCATTAGCTTGGTCTACCGAAACCTTAAGAAGTTAAGGGGAATCTGGAATCTTGGATCGACTGGAAGGGAGACATGGGAGAAGAAGGGAGAGGAATGAATGAAGAATGAGAATGCCCTCACATTGAGGGGAGTTGATCGCTGAGTAGGGTTAGTAGTTGATAGTAGGAAGTTGAGTTGCTGGTTGAGTTTTGTTACATTTGAACTTGAACAATGCACACCTCCCGCTAGTCCTATTCCGGCCCTAAATTTGGGGGTAGCCAAAGTCCTTCTTCCTCCTTCATTTTTGAGTGCTGCCATGATGAACAACCAACTTCATCTGTGCACCCAGTTAATCCTGCACCGGCTATGAACTGTGCCATCTTCTCTGGGTCCATCTGAAACGGTGGCTCAATTTCGCCGACACTCGGCCGCCATCAAGTAAGATCGCTTCAAAAATGCGGGTTCGAAGACACTCGCCACGCACCGGTTGGCTGCTGAGCCTCGACTACTCGGCGCTAACGAGTTTATACTGGCTTAATCTCCGGCGCTGTTCTCCTAACGGCGGGTGATGCCGCAACGATCGTCGCTTATCATCATCTCCAAATCCGCTTTCTTTCTCCTGCGCGAACTAGATCGATTCCCGATGTGATTTGATTATAAACGACCGTAAGCGTGGCCCCCCTCCCTCTCCGACGTTAGTCTTTCTTTCTTGCTTTTTCCTGACCTGTTCATCCCGACGACTAGATACATTACCTTCCATCCCCCCAACATCGTGTTGGCCCTGCTTTCGCCTGGCCTATTCTAAGACATTAGCTAGCCTGCTTACTGCCGCCGTGTCAACTCCTCGCACCACTTATGGGACCCCGCACTCCGGGTTATCTCCACATTGCTTGCCTGGGCGAATTAGTATCTGCACCCTAGCAGTTGGCCAACCTCTGCGTCAGATCCGGCTATGGAATCTACTTCGGAGCCTCGAATCCGCAAAGCTCCGCCGGTCTCCGCCCCAGGTCCCCGGAAAAGGCGTAGGAGGACGGTCATAAGCCAAGCGGCTGATGATTGCTTTACTTGCGCCCGACAGGGTACTCCCTGCGACCGGCGTCGCCCATATTGTTCCCAGTGCCTGGACAGCGCCCGCAATTGCGCGGGGTACAAGACAGCGTTGACATGGGGCGTAGGAGTCGCCAGTCGAGGAAAGCTTCGAGGGTTGTCCCTCCCCGTGACCGGGGCACAGCCTGCGGTCGCACCTCCGAAGCTTTCCCGTGTGACAGGACCACGGACAGCGTCGAAATCCCAACCGACTCTCAACACAGCCGCAGAAAAGCGACGACATGATAAGCAGCGTTCTTCAGGCACTGGGCTTGCCGAGCATGGATCTGTCTCGGTTTCAACTGCTTCACAACGCCGGGCGTGCTCACCGGTGTACTATACGGTGGATTCCCATGCTTCGCCAAATTTCTATAATTCTTATTCCTCACGTGCGACAAAGACCGATTCTCCGAGACAGTGCCATGCCCCATTGATCTCATATCCTGACCCGTCAAGGACCTGGATGGGACCAGAACAAACACCACTACCAATACAGTGTCCGTGGCCAGCTCAGGCTCCGAAACAGAAAGATAATGCTTCAGATGAGCAAATGGAAGAAACCTGTTATGACGAGGTTTCACCACGTATGAGTGCTTGCCAGCCGCCATCAGTATCTCAGCAGCTGCTGGCACGTTCCGTGGGACGTACACCTCGACTCCGATACCTAATCAGTTATTATGCCGAAGTCATTGCTCCGATGATTGTGGCATTTGATAGTCCAACCAATCCATTTCGAACGTATGTTCTTCGACTGGCGCAGGAAAGCACATCGCTCCAAGAGGCCATCGCTACATTGGCCAGCTGTAACCTGCGACAGCGACGCGAACGAGGAATGAGGGCGACGGAGCGAACTTTGCCGGGGCGCATGTCGTCCTTGGCCCACCAAGCCTTGACCGATGGAGCATTACAGGACCGGGCTGGTATCGGTATGCCTGAAGACTATGCCCAGGAAGAGCAGCATCATCGGGGCATGGCGGTCTCTGCTCTGAATCGGGAATTGGCCGACCCGCATCAGAGACTTTCTGACTCTGTCCTGGCAACCTTACTCATCCTCTGTCTATTCCATGGGTGTGATACTGGGGTCGCTCAATTTAAGACGCAGTTTGCGGGGGTGACAAAATTGTTGGCCATCCGACTGTGCAACTCACCTTGCATGTCGGATGAGCTGAAGTGGTTTGTTCGGATGTTCACATGGATTGACACGATGACCGCCACCACCAATGACCGCGAGGTACAGCTTCGCGGTGCTTGCTTGGATATCACCGCCACCTCGGATGGCGAATGGGGACTGGAAAATCTGGCGGGATGTGATGCCGGACTTTTCAGAATCGTAGCGCAGCTAGGTCGTTTGAACCTTCTGAGCCAAAATCAAGAAGTCCGCACATCTACGCCACCAGACATCCATATGCCATCCACTACTCTCCCGCCCTCGATGGCCTTCTTTCCATCGAACAATCCAGCCACCTCGTCCGGTCCTTTTGCATTTTCATTGCCGCCGCCGCCGCCGCCTGGTGGTCGCAACGGAGCACAGCTGCCGCCGGCGTTCTGGGCGGAATGGTATTCTCTCCGACAGAAGCTTGAGTCCTGGCGATTTGTTCCCCACCGATCGCAATCGGGTTCGCCTCTCTTTACGTCCAAGCACGCCTACATTTCGCCCCCTTCATCGCCGACAGACCAGCCGGTGGTCGCAACTCACAATCTGAAGGACGTCATACACATCTCTGAGTCATTCCGCCATGCGGCGATCCTGTACAGTGAACGACTCGCCTATCCAGACCTACCGTCCGATCACCCTCGTATCCAAAACATTGTGCAACACATAATGAGTCACATTATGACTGTCCAGTCTGACGCGTATCTCCTGTGGCCATTATTCATCACCGGGTCTGAGTGCGTGCGTGCCGATCATCGCGCCATTATCCGCCAACGGTGCAAAGATCTATCCAGAGACTCTGGGTTTTTCAACAACCTCTCCTGCTTGCAGCTGCTGGAGAAGATCTGGGCAGAGAACCCTGCTGCGGATGGACTTCCTGCGGTCTCATCCCTTGATTTCGGCTTGCAGGCAGCCGCCAACGGGTCCGTGAGCGAGGTTACATTTCTGCCACCAGGAAGCTGGGCCTCCTCCCAGCATGAGGCATTCATGTCTCCGACACTGCCCTCTGTCTCTGTGAAGCAGGGATTCCGTTGGCACGAGGCGATGCAAACCAAACGCGCGGAGGACGAGTATATGACTGTATGACCTGACCAGACGGATACGTGCATCAAAGAGCCCATCCAGCTTCAATTACCAGACACCGATCATGAACACCAATAACAATATAGATGTAGTCATATTAGCGAAATATAATGAACATAATGCAGTATCCTCCTCCCCACTACGTACACACAGTATGGTGCACGCTGCACACAGTATCTATCGCAACCTGACCCTTCGGGCCACAACATCCACCGCCAGCCAGCAAGCCCCCACCACCGGGACCCATCGCACTAGATCCGTTCCCACTTTCCACAGAATCCGCTCGATACGTAGCAACAAGATTGGTATCTAGCCTACCTAGCCTACTGCGTAAAATTCTCCGTAAACCTACTGTCATCTGTCAGAAAACCCCCCCATCGATGATGATGATACGATACATCTACTCCAATTCTGACGGTCCCTCCAGCAACCTCAGCCTAACATACCCACCAAAACAAAACCCACAAAGTTAAGTACTAACGGGCAACCGGGCATCTCCCGAGCGGCGAGCGCAAGTACGTCGGGAAATTTTTGAGTTGGGAGTTGAGTTTCGGGCCTGCGTGTCAGATGCTCATTTGTTGGGTGGAAGGCAGACTCTGTTCTTTGTGTGGGAGAGGTGGACACTCGGTTACTCTGTAGTGGTTTGGTTTGCTGCTGTGCTGCTGTGGTGATGGAATGAGTGGGTGAGTGGGTGGGTGAGTGCCTAAATCTTAGGGAGGTGACAGTGGGAGGGGTTCTTGTGAGTTGATTGTGTTGGGTTTGGTTATGAGGGTATACTGTGCCGTGCTGCGCCAATATACTTTACTATTGTTTAGTAGTATGTAGGCTAGGCTACAGTATCGATTTAGTATGTATGTGGTTAATGCACAGCAGTGGCAGTGGCAGTGGTAGTGGTAGTGGTAGTGGTCTAGTGGTAGTGGCAGTGACGGCTTATACTATTCTATGTATAGTACTGTACTTATATAGTAATGCACATGCACATAGCCATACTCCAGGTAACTAGTCAACTAACTACTTAGTTATAGTTACTACATGCTTCTTAGATAATACCTCAGTCAGATTTCGTCATCCCACCACCACCACCGGAGACATGGAAAGATAGGGCGCAACGCTGAGCGTGACGAGCCGAGCCTTGCCTTGCCTTGCCCCGACCCCACGAGACAAGAACAGATGCGACGTGATCGATAGGACCCAGACCAATCTACTCCGTAAGAGATAAATACTACTACGGTTGTATTGTACTCCGTAGATGAGAGGTTACCACTTACATCACTTCTCACTGAACTAGTACACAAGTAGTAATGCACCTATAATACCTATCCTTAGCAGGGTCGGTCATCTGCCCCCGGAAATCCAAAGGCGGGGGTGATGGATGATGGATGATGCCAATGTGATAGTGATGAGATGAGATTCATCAACTTCGGCGGCTATTCGGGGGGTCTTATCCCCTATGTCTTCCCGTGTGGCGGGGGGATTTACTACGCCGGGGAGTGTAAGAACAAGGGTATGGTTGGGGTTGGGTTAGGTTGGCGGTTAATTGAAGTGTACTCCGTACATGGTAGTAAAGTAGGTTGATGTAGTGTGTGTAGAGACTAAAAAGAGGGGTAGAGAGAGGGGGGATGACATGGGGTCGGTCACTATGTATCTAGTAGAACTTGGTGGTGGTGGAGGTGGAGGTATGGTATGTATATACATGATTTTCTTAGTGGTATTTATGGAATGGGGAGAGGGTTGGGTGGAGTGGGTACATCGTGTTACTACTACTTGTTGTCTGTCTATCTGATTACTTGGTGTTGGTGGTATGTTGGCGGTGGGGAGGATATGGAGGACTTGGGTGTGGATAGTTGATATTGGTTATCAATGTTATGGTATTCATTGTCTTTGTGTTGTTTTTTAGACGTTGTGTGGTATGGGAAGTATTGGTGTGGATTGTTGGTTCTGTGTATAGATGGTACGCTGCAACTTGAGCGTAGCTGGCAGATAAGTATGTGGCACCAAGCAGTTTTGGTCTCTATATACTATCGAGCATTTACATTGAAGATATCAGTTGTTAATTTAAAGGTTCTATCTAGTTCGAAAACATACGTAGTAGTATAAACCTACTATGTAATAGCATAATAACTTACCCCAAGCACACTACAAAACACCGAAACATCTATTGGCCATTATCCAACACTACTTTGATGTAGCGTAGTATATTCCACGTGCATCCCTAGCATATTGACGTAACCCATCTGCCAAGCACACAATACATCCATGAACCTGGTGTCTAGAGCCAAACGCAAAACATTTACTGCAGCGGTTACACTCATCCCAAGTAGTACAACCAGTACAACCACAATGCGTAATCCTTACACAGTACTTAGTACTCCCTACCTAACCAACACGATCCTCCACACCTGCGGCAGCGGAAACCTGCAGACGTGTCGGGCTTTGTTGACCTTAGGCTCTCAAGCGGCGGCCTTTTGTTATGTTTAACTGGTATACGAAGAATTGATAGGCTAGCTAACACGCGCTCGGAATTTAATAATCAAACCATGTGGGAACGAGGAATGTTCAGAACAAAAACCTGAAGTACGTACTAGTGTACTTTTTTCTGGTATGATCCTTCGAAGCGCATGTATGGATGGATGGATGGATGGATACCAGATAAGGCATCAATCCAACATAGGTGCAGTGTACGGAGTAAATCGATTAGTTCGCCAATCACTCCTGACTAGGGCTCAGGGCAAGGGCTGAGTCAGGCGCACACATTCAGGAGTAGATAGAGTCACAGGTCTTAAATTCTAATCCAATGGGTATTGTGTGAAAGGATGGGCGGAAATGAGACTCAAATTCCGGCCGCGCGATCGGCATGCGGCTGGGGTGGTCTAGGATATGCAGGGGCTTAGTTGCTTGTGCTGAGGTTGCTTATTTTCCAGACAGGGAGGGAGGGAAGGAGGGAGGGAGAGGGTGTGTGTGTGTGCCAGTCGGGAGGGAAGTTGTTGGAAATGAATTAGATAGATTGGTTTGTGGTTGAAGTTAGGTTGCTATTTAGTATTTACTGTTGTGTGGTGTTGCTGTTGTGAGATAGATCAATGTGGATTTTGTGTATCAATTTTTGGAATATCGGCTGGGGACATTCTGGCATTCTATGGGTCTGGCCTGAAATGTGATCAAGGGCCAAATATTTGCATTAATTTCGGGACAAAGGTACATGGGGTCCTTGTATGTACCATACCATACAGGCTGCAGCGTAATTGAAGGCATCTTCCAGAAGGAAAGCAACACCAGCTGAAAGGAATAATTTAAAAAAATAAGAGTGAGACTATCAAGGCACACGGCACAGTCTAGACTAGATCATCGGCTCCCCGAGCAAGGGACGGTGAAAACTCTGATGGTGGGACTGGCCCTGTGGGGGTGCTTGTTTGACTTTGATTTACTTTGCTGACCATCCTTTCTGGAGGCCTTCCACATTCGGCGGTGCGGACGATGAGGTGAGAGTTCGTCAATAGGGATTTTATCACCGCCATATTTGGAGATAACTGCCAGTGCGATAGGTCATTTCGAGTAGTTTCCTCGCATCTCACTATATCATGAGAGATGTTAGTAGATTGGCGGACCGTATCTCCCCTCCCAATCAGGACACTATCACCGCAAATGATCCATCTATGCATTTGAACCGTTGACGCCGAGCGGAGCTCAGCGGCACCCGGACTTGATCCCGCGTCCGGCAGGGTTTATCCAATGGTGGTCAACGCAATGCAAGTGGTCGCTCAGGTTCAGCCAAGTTCAATGATGAGGAGGAGTCCATCTCTCTTAAGGTTTCTGATATGGCTCACGATACTCTTTAATATTGTGACTCCTCCCGTCCCGACAGGCTAACGCCACCACGTAACCATGATCACATACTTTTCTGACCTGCTTTAACCCAGAGCGCCATGTGTGACCTTGCAAAGATCCTCTGGCCAGCCAGCGCTCAAAGAAGAGTTGCCTATCTGCCAGGGGCCAAAGGATTCGCTACTTTCCCGGTCGCTGATTGCGTGGAAGTCTTGACACCGGGGAAGGCCGATTTCTAATTGGGAGTCCGCCCGGGGACTGGCCCTACGGATTGGAACTGAACTACTACTAGTACTTCCTGCTAGTAGCAGAACTAGTAAGTCTTGTGGTCGCTTGGGAACTTGAGGGCGCTAAGTACTTTGCTGTTCCCCTCGGTCTGTCTGTCTGCCTGCCTGCCTGTCCGTATTGGGCAATGGCGTCTATCACATTCGAGAGACGCCAACACTATGCAGTCTTCAATAGTCTAGAGCCCAGACAGCTTGAGTGTCCTGGAAGTTTCACAAAACTGTTCGCCAGACAAATGCCCGGATTTCAGATCCTACGAATTTTTAAACTACCGCGTTCGACTCGCAAATTGCGGTCTGTCCAACAGGCGTCGTCCGATATGAAGAGGGTGTGGTTGCTGCCCAGCTGGTCGGCAGCGGTAACGCCCATCCGTAACGCCCATCCACTCCAGCTGTTGCCCAACAACCATGCGATGGCTCGTGGCTTTTAGGGAGTCAGATATTCCATGCCTTATGGTTCCACTAGTTCGAACAGTTGAGCTTGTTCGCGGACCCCGGATCGCAACCATGGATTACCGACGGGCTCATCCGCACACTGTCCATGGAACCGACCGTCGATAATCGTGTGCGCCAGATCAGCATATCTATTGATGTACAGTACTTTGGACCATGGACTGGCCCCATGCCGGAGATGCAGTCACTCTGTAGGTTCGGCTCCTTCGGTAGCATGCCTAGCATGGCTCTTTCCATATAGAGGCGCTGCCACAGACATTGTAGGCTCCTACTTGACCTCGCCACAGTGCTAGGCACCCAGGTAGGACAAGCTCTGTATAAGAGAGTGAGTGTCCATCTCACGATGACTGCCTTGAAAGATATTAATATCTCTTACTCACGACTGAGCCACCTGTGGCAACGTGACCATGACTCACATTCCTTCGCCCCGAAAACGTGATGTGCTCCTTGCTATGCGGCAGGCTCCCACTGTAGGTACGCACGCCTGCTGAGGAACGCAGCGGCGGCGGAGTGATGGGCTCGC